TTCCATTATGTAGAATATCTATCCCATGTGAATTTACCAATCCTTCTATTATATGGACTAACTATCCTATGTAAATCTACCAATCCTTCCATTATATAGACCAGCTATCCCATATAAAACAATTAATCATCCACTTGTACCACAATTTCACAATAGATACATTTATAAAGGGAGTGAGTGTAGCACATGTGATCATAGAATAAGATTTGGATATACTTTCACTATAAATCCTTGGAACTTTGGGGGATAAATAAGCATAAAAAAGCTATTAAAGGCTTTCTTATCAACCAATTATTCCTTTTTTAGTTGGTTTAAGGGGAGAGATATAAGATGCATTACACTGTATCTTCCATGATCTATAAGCTATACCCTATAGTATTTTACCATAAAATGCCACAAAGTAAAATCTAAACCTTATATTTGGTATTCCATTTTTTTTTAAAATTTTATTATGCCTCTTCTAATCCCACACATATTCCTCTACCACCTCCTATAAAGGTTATTATCAACAAGTAGGAGTTTGAAGTTGTTACCATCCTTAACTTGAAATACCAATATTGCAAACTTTATTATTTTGTTGTCACCTAGTACTTAGTATCAGAAAGAGGGATGATAATATATATTTGCTATTTTTTTTATTAAAGAGTATATTCACTATTACTAGCTAAACCTTTGCTCATGGGATTTGAATTTAAAACCTACTATGCACATCATTAAAATAGACCCATACCTAAATTAGGTTTCTAGATTAATTAAGGGTTAGACCAAATTAATTTCTAGAGCCTGTATAGAAATATGGTTTTAAGGACTTTATACTCAATAACAAATTTTCCATTGTTTTATTATTTTATTGAGAGTTGTTCCCTCTTTGATTTTGTCCCAAATTAGGTTTTTGGGTTAGCCTCTATAAAAGTAGGTTTTTAAAAACTTTATAGTTAGAGTGTTCAACACAATTCTTATACGATTGTTCCTTTTTTCCTTACTTGAGACTCACAGTCACTTGCCATCAAACAATTGTAAATAAATATAAATTTAAATAAATAAACTTCATGTTCCAACTCACGAAGAATACTTTGTTCCAAGCAAAAATGTTAAAGAGGCCATCTTGTTAATGTCTTGATAGAGAAAAATTTAATATTTATTTTGCGTCGATCCATCCATTACAATTGCAATTTTGGATCCATCTAGTATGGACATACATTTAGCATGCATACCCGAAAAGCACAAGTGGGATTTTGCTGAGATAAAAACCCTAAACTCTAAGGAATGACAAAGATACACTATCTCAATCAGCCAAAAAACATTTAGAGTTAATCGACCATTACCAATGTACCATTTGCTTAACTTGAAATAAAAAGCCCTAGAACAAGGAATGAGTGTGGCATAAAACATGTATCAATTAAAATGAATACTCTACAGATTTAGATGGGTTATATGGGCTTAGGTGGGAACCTGGGTTTATATTAACATTGAAATATGATACATATACCAAAAAAAAATAACACAACATAATTACCCCTCCATAATCACTCCTTTATAAAATAGAATAATGAGGAACAAAATAAATTCCAGAAACGATTTAAAAAGAAGTTGCAGCATTTGATTATATTTTTACCCTTATTCTTTTGCATGCTGGATAGATTGTACTGTGACATCCTACCAAAATCATGATGCAAGAGGGATGTAACCTGTATTTTATATTGCTGTTATCTGTTTTCATTTTGGCTTTTAAGCTTGGTCCCTATGGATGATCTCTCTCGTTTGGACCTCCTCAAGCTCTTCATAAGATAAGTTTTAGGTCCTTGTTCGAAGAAAGCAATAACTTGAACTGGGTATTGAATGTGAGCTCACATGAGTAAATTGGTGGCAGAAGACATAGAGGAGTTCAGCAAACGGCTCACGAGATCATTAAAACAACTTACTATAATTTGTTAGTCTCATTCTTCTTGGTGGGCGCCACAAGACCTTATAAACAGCTAATGAATGAATGAATGAATCTAAGGCCTACCAATAAGGATGAAGAACTGGACAAGTAACACATAGTTTAAAAGTTGTCCATATCTAGTTAACAAGTAGCTGAAGAAGCAGCTGTCTTACTTTACAGCATTCTGATTCTGTTTCCAATTTCTTTTTAAGCTTGGTCATATCTATCGTTTGCACGCACGTTCGTCATGCTAGAGGAGGACCACTTTGTTTAAAAGCCCCGAGCTTGTGCCCAACACAAGCACACCTTGTACTCAAGTAGTGTGTTCTTAGCAGCTCATACTTCACTTCTTTGCATCAATTGCAGTGATGAGCAACGACAGGAACCTGGAGGTGAAGCGCGAGGTGCCCGGTGAGTATGGCGCACCCATACTCGGCGCCGTGCTGGATCGGCTGGACCGTTTCTACGGCAAGAATTTCTTCGAGAAGCGGAGGGACGAGTACGGGAGCACTGTCTTCCGCGTCAACATGCCCCCCGGGCCACCTTTCTTCCCCGATTCCAAAGTCATTGCGCTGCTGGATCAGAAGAGCTTCCCTGTCCTGTTCGATCTCACC